GGGTAAAATTGGGAGTTCATAACCCACTTCAATCTAATGTATGAAATATGATATGTCAAGAGCTTTGTAATGTTGTGAACAACCAATAAAAAAAAATTATTTTCTGGTATTTTCACAAAAGTAAGTCTCAAAGTAAGAGAAAGGAAGAAATTTATTTACTGAAAGTTCCATCTAATTTCATGTGGAAACAAATTCAAATACAGAGTATTTCTTTCTCTTTTTGCTAAGATATAAGAAATAAGAAATATATATAAGAATTGAAGTTTTGAATTAGATCATTTTACCCAAGGTATATGTAGGCTTACCTGTATTCCAGCATGGCTACAGAGGTAAAAATCAAACTCATACGGATGTGTAATGTCTGTATCAACGGTCGTTCCAGCTGGGATATTGCCACTTCTTCCGACCTAGATTTTTTTGTCAAAGTTCAAACAAAGGTAAAAAATGTATTTAAAAGCACCTTTAAAAATGAGTGTGTGTACACATATATACATATATGCTGATTTCATGTTTCACTACTTTCAGCTTGAAATATTATTTAAGCAGTCATAGGGCAGACCTTATATGTGGTTCCTAGTTGTTTTTTTTCTCCAGGACTGGGGATGGAACCCAGTGCCTTGAGCATGCTAGGTGCACATTCTACCACTAAGCTACATTCCCCTCAGTTTCTATTCTTAAATGTTATTAAAAGTAAGTGCTGATAAACAACAAAGAGTTACATAGTCTATTACTACTTACCTGGGAGTTGATTCCAACAGGGATGGAAGACATTTTTAAAAAATATTTAAGTTAACTTTTAGTGCTCCAATTTATGGTACCTGTACACAGTGGGTACTCTTTTTAAAAAAAGTATTTATTTTTTAGTTTTAGTGGACACAATATCTTTATTTTGTTTTTATATGGCGCTGAAAATCGAACCCAGTGCCTCACGCATGCTAGGCGAGCATGCTACCACTTGAGCCACATCTCCAGCCCCCTACAGTGGGTACTCTTAAGCACGTAATTTACCTAAGCATTTTCCTTGGAGAACACTAAATATTTAGAGGAAAACATACTAACAATAACATCAACAATAGTCACCAATTGTTAATCATGTATTTATCAGGTACTTTATTTATTTTATTTATTTATCTATTTATTTATTTAAATTTATTTTTCAATTTTTGGTGAACACAACATCTTTTATTTTTTTTTATTTTTATGTGGTGCTGAGGGTCGAACCCAGCGCCCCGTGCATGCCAGGCGAGCGCGTTACCGCTTGAGCCACATCCCCAGCCCATTTTTAGGTACTTTAAATACATTATTTCTAAAACCTGATGCAAGTTAAGTGTTTTACCATTTGGAGAAACTAAGGGTCATGGATATAAAATAATGCCCAAGAGCATATAATAAAGAGCCAAATTGGAATTAAAACATGAAAGGACTGCAAAGGCCCAATTAAAATATGTAAAGACTGCAAAGGCCCAATTTTCAAAATTTCATACTATCAGTTTTCTTACATACTAATATTTTCTTACAGAAGGGATACCATCATTTTCTCTAAGTGGTTTTGATGTGACTAAAATTTTTCAAAATTCCTGATAATGAAAAGCTCTTAATAAAACATTTTAAATGCATGTTATATCCACTTAAATCTCCTTATCTTCAACACATTTAAAATTATTAACTATAAGTCTAGGATTACATGGCTAGGAAATCAGAAACTACTCTACTGACTCAGATATTATTTCTGCAATGTGAAGGACTGTTATCAGGTGGTGGCTTGAATTACTGCTGTATGATCAACCAGTTAGTCTTTATCAAGCATAAAAGAAAGAAAACAGTTTTAATCTACTCAATTATGCCTAATACTGAAAAAAAATTAACTCTAGCTGGCTGGGATAGGACATTCCTATAATCCCAGCTACTTGGGAGGCTGAGGCAGGAGGATGGTTGTTCAAGGCCAGCCTCAGCAACTTAGTGAGACCCTATCTCAACATTTATAAAAAAGGGCTGGTAATGTAGCTCAGTGGTAGAGCATCCTTGGGTTCAATCCCCAGTACTGGGAAGAAAACAACCATAACAACACAAACCTAAAAAACAACAAAACCCAAAATTAAATCTAATAAATTAGCTACACATAATATATAAAAAGTGGTACTCTATTTAGAGAGAAAGCAGAATGTCTGGTTTATATCATTTTTCTATCAGTTTCTAGATGATCTAGGGCATGGTATTTTACTTTTCTGTACCTATTTCCTAAACTGTAATTAACTCTCAGCTGTTACTAGTAGTATTATTTAGAGCAAAGAAAAGCAAACAAATGAATGGCATGACTAAACATCAGATATTCATAAACATTCAATTTAATTTAAATTTCTAGGTATAGAAACATACTTAACAAAGGTCTTTAACAACTTGGAGGCCCTAATAAAACTATTACTACTGCTATTAGAGACGTGGTATATAGTACAGTGGTTAAGAGTACTCTGGAGCCAGAACAGTGGTGCATACCTGTAATACCAGCAGCTAAGGCAGGAGGATTATAAGTTCAAAGCCAGCCTCAGCAAAAGTGAGGCGCTAAGCAACTCAGTGAGACCCTGTCTCTAAATAAATACAAAATAGGGTTGGGGATGTGGTTCAGTGGTTGAGTGCCCCTGAGTTCAATCCCTGGTACGCCCCCCCCACCAAAAAAAAAAAGAGTACTCTGTAACCAGATTGCCTTGATTTAAGTGCGACCTCTACCAATTACTGGCTTTATAACTGTGGGAAATTATTTAACTTCTTTCTATGTGTCATAGTTTTCTCTTATACAAGATGAGGGATGATAGTTATTATCTTCTAGTGTTTGTTAGGATTAAATCAGTTAAATTTATTAATAATATTTAGGCTAGGGATATAGCTCAGTGGTAGGATAGTTGCCTAACATGTGCAAGGCCCTGGGTTTGATCCCCAGCACTACAATCAATCAATCAACAAATCAGAATGAATGAAAAGGCTTAAAACAATGACTGTTATTGCTATTATTATTTCTTCTTCTCTCTTACTACCACCATCACTACCACTGTACAGCTAGCTAACACTTCACTGAGTACTCAGTATATGCCAAATGCTGTTCTAAGTGCATTTTATTTAATCTTCTCAACAACCAATAAAAGATAAAAATTAATATTATTCAATCTTTCGGGAAAGAAAACAGGCATAAAAGTGTTGAGCACTTTTCCAAAATACACAATTGTTATACATATACAAGACAAGATATTTCTCTTAGTTTTTTCTATTGAATTCCTTTTCCAAAGGTACAATGATATTTGCCCCCTCAAATTTCTCTTGCTTCAATGTTTGAGGATGGGAGAAGATGGGATAAGGGCAGCAAGATTGCTATTTGCCTACACTGCATATAGATAAGAAGACACATTTCCCTGGGTGTGTACACTTTCCTTTCCTTCTAATTATAAAAATACATATCACACTTTATGAAATACAGAAGATTATCCTGTGAACTTTAAAGGAAACATTGTTCAAAAGTTAGTTAATATTAATTTTTACTTCTTAAAAAAGCTAATTTTTACAAGTTATTTTAAAAAGAAAGGGCTTGGGATGTATAGCTCAATGACAGAGCACTTGCCTAGCATGCAAGTGGCCCTGGTTTGATCCCCAGCACCAAAAGAAAAATAAAAGAAGATGGTACATGCCTATAATCACAGATATTCAGGAGGTTGAAGCATGAGAATTTCAAGTTCAATACCAGCATGTGCAATTTAAGCCATACAAAAAGGCTGGGGATGAGTGCTGTGGATGTGGGCAGAATGCTCTGCCTAGCATATGCAAGGTCCTAGGTTCAATCCTTAGTACTGCAAAATTAACAGATAAATAAATATACCTATTTTTTCTAAAAGTTTCTTCATAACAACAAAGTAAAATGATATTTCAAACATTTGAAATTACTAGAAATTCTAGAAAGTTAAGTAATAATTAACCTATTTTGATATTTCTTTATTCAAAATTTAATGGCTGAACCCCACTACTGGCAGAAGGCTCTATTAAATAAGTGCTTTACAACATTATGACAGATTACCCTTTGTGGGGCTGAGGTTGTAGCTCAGTGGTAGAGCGTTTGCCTAGCATGTGTGAGGTACTGGGTTAGATCCTCAGTACCACATTAAAAAATATAAAATTAAATAAGATTACCCTTTCTGTCCTATCAGCACAAAATAGTCGAGTGTGATGTCTCTTCTGTACTACGATATAGGTTATTCCAGGTTGATAGTCTTTCTCCAAACTGATACAGGCTTCTCGAATTGCTAGTAGCTCATAATATAATACCTAGAGAAATGTGATGGAAAGAGTCAACAGAGTCAACTGTTCTTTTTTACATTCTTCAAAGTAAAATAATGATTTAGATTGAGAATTTCTTAATTTTATCACCTTATAGCTAAGATACTTCCTATTCCATTTTAATTATTAGCAGAATAATCAAAGATTATACATCCGTAGTGAACATATTAAAAGGGAAAGTCTACTGAAGAATCAAATTTTGAATTTAGGAACTCTCAGTTGAAAGATTTCAACTTCAGAACCAGATACCATATGGTAAGTATAGTATCTGATTACACCATAGTTTGAGGAGATCCCAGACAACCAACCTGTCTAAACTGTCCCTCTGAAACACCATCCCGATAAAAGATGATACGAGTAGGTTTGAACCGAGTTGACTTATAAAATTGAATGAGAAGTTCTCGGACCATGGATGCCAAGTCCTGGATGATCTCCTGCCTGGGTCTCTGAACTCTTACTGTGGCACAGTATCTGCTTGGGTGGGCATCCATACTACCTACAACCTAGGTTGGAAAAAGTAAAGAAAAATAGAAATTAAAATAATGAAAACGATGTGGATTTCATTTACATTTTACTATAACCTTACTATGCATCATTATTTTCTTTAAGAATAATAAAAATAGTTAATTCTTAGTGAATAAAAGACCTACTGCAATGTCAAAAACCTGTTTTCCTATAAGTAGGCTACACTTTATATTTAACAATTAGATTGTTTATTTATTTATTTTGTAGTACTGGGGATTGAACACAGAGGGTCTGTGCCACTGAGCCACATCACTAGACTTTTATTTTGTAACTGGTTCTTCCTAAATTGCTGAGGTTGGCCTTGAACTTGCAATTCTCCTACCCCAGCTTCCCAAGTTACTAGGAAGACAGGTGTGCACAACTATGCCTGGTCTAACAATTAGATTCTAACTGTTTTTGGTAAATATTAGCCAAGAAAGAAAAGGACAAAAAGACATGCATAAAGAGAGTAAGAAAAAGAAAATAAGTAAAAAGAGGGACCAATTCAAACTACTGACTTCTTTTCATATCTCTTCTACTTTAACAACCCATTCTAGAAGTCAGACTTTTTTAAAAAAATATTTTTAGTTGTAGATAGACACAATACCTTTATTTTATTTATTTTTATGTGGTGCTGAGGATCAAACCCAGCACCTTATACAAGCGCCCCACCACTAAGCTACAACCCCAGCCCTAGAAGTCAGACTTAATATTTTAGCATTATCTTAGAACTGTTAGGATCTATAAATTTTAAAATCATGAGTTTCTAAAAAAACTTAACACTAAAAAAACCCCCAAATAACTCAATCAATAAATGGGCAAAGGAACTGAATAGGCGCTTCACAGAAGAAATATCAGCCAAGAGATATATGAAAAAATGTTCAACACCTCTAGCAATTAGAGAAATGAAAATTAAAACTACACTGAAATTCCATCTCACTCCAGTCAGAATGGCAATCATCAAGAATACAAGTAACAGCTGAGTGTATATGCCACTGTGCTCAGGAAGCTGAGACAGAAGGATTTCGAGTTCAAAGCCAACTTATCCCTCAGCAACTTAGCGAGACCCTGTTTCTAAATAAAACACAAAAAGGGCTGGTCAGTGGCTCAGTAGTTAAGTTCCCCTGAGTTCTATCTCTGCTACCAAAAAAAAAAAAAAAAGTAACAATAAATGTTGGTGAGGATGTGGAGAAAAAGGTATGCTCATACATTGCAGATGGGACTGCAAACTGGTGCAACCACTCTGGAAAGCAGTAGGAGAGTCCTCAAAAAACTTGGAATGGAACCACCATTTGACCCAGTTATTCCACTCCTTGGTGTATACCCAAAGGACTTAAAATTAGCATATTATAGTGATGTGGTCACATCAATGTTCACAGCAGCTCAATTCACAATAGCTAAGCTATGAAACTAATCTAGGTGCCCATCAACAGATAAATGAATAAAGAAGATGTGGTATATATACACAGTGAAATATTTATCAGTCATAAATAAGAATGAAGTTATGGCATCTGCCAGTATATAAGAATATATCATGCTAAGTGAAATAAGCCAATCCCAAAAAACCAAAGGCTGGATATTCTCTCTGATATGCAGATACTAACACACAATAAGGGGTGGGTAGGAGGGAAGAATAGAAGTTCACTGGATAAGACAAAAGGGAATGAAGGGAAAGGAGAGGATATGGGAAAGCAAAGACAGTAGAAATCAATCAAACATAAATTTCCTACGTTCACATATGAATACAAGACCAGTGTAACTCCACATCATGTACAATCGTGAGATTGGGAAGTTATACTCCATGTATGTATAATATGTCAAAATATACTCTACTATCATGTATATCTAAAAAGAACAAATTAGAAAAAATGAGGAGTTCTTTTACTGCAAACTCCTAGATTTGACATCCTGAATCTGTAGTCAGTCTTCTTGGGCTGCAATTGTGTTGTGTATTAGGTCTTCAGAGATGTTAATCTGGTTTTCAAACTGGCTATCTCAATTGTCCCTTTCTATGTCCTGTTTCATATTTTGTTTAAAGCAAAGGAGACCTCAAAGTATGAACTTAATCATAGCCTCAAGCTAGTTACTGGGCCTCCCTATTCTTTCTTCCAGGATAGTCTATATCAAATTCATGCTTCAAAAATAAAACTTAAACCATTTCATTCCCTTCATCCTTATCCTTGTAATACATCTTTCATCTAACAAAGACAATACTGAAATATATAAACAAACTCTTATAACCATAGAAGTACCTAAAAATTCACAATCACAGAGAGATCACACAGACAAAACAGGATAATTTTTCTTGGGTGGGTACCAGGGATTGAAGCCAAGGGCACTTAACCACTGAGCCACATCCTTAGCCCTTTTTATTTTTTGAGATAGTGTCTTGCTGAGTTACTTAGGGCCTCTCTAAGTTAATGAGGTTGGTTTGGAACTAATAATCCTCCTGCCTCAGGCTCCTAAGCCACTGAGATTATAGGTGTGTGCCACCATACTGGGCTGAGTAATATAATTAACAAACTTGACTTAATATATATATAGAACTTGTAGTTTTCAAACCAGAATAATCATTCTTTTCAAAAACTCAAGGAGGTGGGCTGGGGATATAGCTCAGCTGGTAGAGAACTTGCCTCCCATGCAAAAGGCCCTGGGTTCAATCCTCAGTACCACCAACAAAACAAAACAAAACGAAAACAAAACAAACAAAAACTCCACGCCCAAAAAGTCAAGGAGGGGCTGGGGTTGTGGCTCAGTGGTAGAGCACTTGCCTAGCATGTATTAGGCACTGGGTTCAATTCTCAGAATTGCATAAAAATAAAAGAATAAATACCAACCTATATGCCCTTCAATAGACGAATGGATAAAAAAATGTGGCATTTATACACAATGGAGTATTACTCTGCATTAAAAATTGACAAAATCATAGAATTTGGAGGGAAATGGATGGCATTAGAGCAGATTATGCTAAGTGAAGCTAGCCAAGCCCTAGAAAACAAATGCCAAATGTCTTCTTTGATATAAGGAGAGTAACTAAGAACAGA